AAGCTTCGGCGGCCGAGAGTCAAGCTCTCGCACGTACACTGTCACTCGCTTGTGTACGTATCCCCTCCACACGCTGCTGCTTGCTGTAAGTGAGCTAAAAGTGGCATCCTTGTTTGGAAGGCTTTATTCTACAGGTTTTAAAGTGTATATTCAAATTTTTATGTCAACATACATTACAAAATGGCGGCGCTAGAGCCCTGTCAACATGAGCGTGTTTTTCGAAACGGGGCTTCGGGGTTCGCAGCATAAATGTCGCAAATGTTGATCTAAAACAAAAAAGCAAAATTTTCTGTCATCTACATGTCAACAGCTAGAGAAGTACGTAGAGGATTTTTAAAATATTTATATTTATAGAAATGGCGCGCATTTGAAGAAAGTTTCATTTTATAAAAAAAAAAAAAAAATTAGAGGGATTTTAAAATCATTAGAAAAAATAGCGGAAATAATCGGTTTTGCCAACTTATTCTGGTAACCAACTAACCCCGATCTTTCTTATTTGTCGATCGGTTGTCGTTGTTTCTTTCTCATCTCGCGGCGTCATGAACGAGGACTTGATAAGGTGAAAGAGGAGGAAAGAAGGAGAAAGAGAGAGACTCATCGCGAGATTCAATTAAATGGAATGAAGAGACGAGTTTTTTAATCGGATCGATTAAAAGTTCGGCTTTCTCGAGCGCGGTGAGTGAAGCAGGGCGGTTTGCCGGCTACCGGACAATAATTACCACGAAATTAATATTTCGACAATCCGATGTAATAACATTTATTTCCCGTACAATCTGTTGGTGCGCCGCCGAATAAGCCCGATTCCCGAGTGCTTCGTCTTTAACGAGCGCGCGCGTTTCGCAATGCCATTTAACAGCGGGCAATATATCGAAAATAATTAGGATACGGTATCTCGCGACATTAAACGAACAGTAAATTAATTGCCGAATTAATTGTACACCGAATGCCACGGACGACCTCCTTGTTTCCGATCGCGATAATGGAACTCATCCGAGAGTTGGAGATACGAGAGCGGGATAGCTCTCGGTTAGACTCGATTAAACGATAATTCGTTAATGTCGCGTTAGGATCTCGTAGACTCTCGTAGAAGCGCACCGAGGACAATGAAGGATATCGCACGCTTACATTTCCATCCAGGGATTACCTGAATTATTGGTGTATCGGATATATCGAGAAAATTGGCGGTGGTCATCATCGCCATTATGAATTCTTTATTTGGATGTTGCGGCGTCTGAATTACAGGGCGGTGTGGGCTACCTTGCTTACTGCTTCATATATGGGCTCCGTCCATGCTAGCGATAGCTACGAACTGCTTCGTATCCGTTCAAGCTCGCGCGACCAGCTCGTTAACGTAACATTCGATTCATACCAATCGCACGCCTTCATGTCTTTTTCGTAAGTTTATGTATTTTCCGCGGTTCATTCAGTCCTCCTGTTTTCTCGCTTTGGGATTCTTGATTGATAATGGAAACAAGAAAATACACGCTCAAGATTTTTGCAAAAACATTGAAGTAAAGAGATCCACACAGTGACACTTGCAACCACGATCGAACAAATCGGCAAAACAGTCCAAACACACACACACACACACACATTTCTTTTTTACCCCACAATCAATAAATTACCGTAAAATTAACATAATGTGCAATCCATCTTTTCGACCTATCTTTTGTCATGATTCCATCATGCTAATTTAATAGTTATGAATTAATTATTTTAAAAGTTATTTATTAATTGTAAAAGTAAAATATATAGATTATTTTACAGAATCTGTTCGATTGAGCGCAAGTATAGTTTTGTCTTTTGTTGCGACATATCAGCAAGAATTTTGAACGTACATTTTTTCGTTCCCAACGTTATAAATCAAGACGGTCTCGGCGAAGAGGAGGAGGAGTCCTAAGATCTCTAGTTTCACATCGTTGAATCTTTCTTCGGCTTCTCGAATCCTTCGCTTCCTGATGATCGCATGTATCGATCAGGCCGAACGTAACGAGCGTAATAAACACTCGATTTCTCCAAGCACCGGACATTCCAAAAATTTCGTGCAAACCCGTGCAGATAGGCATCTGCGCACAAACGCGCCCCGTAACGGCGACGGCGTTTGGAGCACTTGAAAAAGCACGTGAGCCGACACGAGGTGCCATAAATAGAGCGGCTAATCGCGTATCAGCGCGACGCGAGTCTCGCGATTCGCGATACACATAAGTAGATAGCTCGACATTACCACTTCGCTTCCTGTTACTTAAATATCTGATGCTAAACGGAACCGTTTGATACGAGACCTCGTTAATGAGTCTATCATTAACCTGTCGTCATTATCTCTGATATAAAACGCGTGCGAGCGATAGATTAATCGAGTCGAATCTAGGATGTTTATAGTGGATGCGATTATAGCCGATAAATGTATGCTGATTACATATTTCTCTCTCTCTCTCTCTCTCTCTCTCTCTCTCTCTCTCTCTCTCTCTCTCT